GATAATGATACCTTGTATGCAAAACTGCAAATATTCCGTTTTACCTTTTTTCCCAATCTAAGGCCGTTGGTGTTAGTGTCCTTGGCCGCTGATTACCTTGACCTGCTCGCGGCCCTCGTCCTCCCTGCCCTTTTAAGGAGCCCCGTGTGACTGCGTGCATGTAGGGTTCATGATTACCATATAGATTGGAAGAGATGGACAGGCAGACAGATAGATGGTGTTTGTTCAGTCCTAGTGGCCATTGCTGTTCCTTGACCTTTCGCCATATATAGACAGGAAGTGCGTGGCTTAGGGTCTGCGGGTGTCATGTCCAGGCACCCACACGCAAGTATGGGGGTACATATACTAGCGTGTATAAATACACACAAACGTACATGATGAAAGTGCAAACACAAATTCAGACACACAGACAAACGCACGCACATGCACGCACAAACTACACACAAACGCATACACACATACATACACATACACGCGCGCGCGCGCGCACCAACCCGATATAACTTTTAAAAAATTGTTTTTTATTTCAACATTTAGGCATTACGCTGCTTACATCTATAAAATATGGCTTAGTATTTACTTCAAGGAAATATAGAAAATGATTAGTAGTACAGAATACTCACCAAACCAAGCCGTATAGGCCTATATATATTGGATATAGTTGCAAGCGAGTGGTTTATCGTCTTGTCTGGGTGTTGGAAATGGAACGCTCTTACGCCGCGGGGTGAGAGAGAGAGAGAGAGAGAGAGAGAGAGAGAGAGAGAGAGAGAGAGAGAGAGAGAGAGAGAGAGAGAGAGAGAGAGGATGTGGGAGAGGGAGAGAGAAGGGTGGGAGAGAGGGAGAGAGAAGGGGTGGGGGAAAGTGATAGAGAGAGAGAGGGAGGTATAGAGAGAAAGAGCGAGAGGGGGTAGAGAGAGAGAAAGAGAGATAGGAGGGGGAGACAGAGAGAGGAGAAGGGAGGGACGAAAAAGAGGAAAGAGCAAGAGAGAAAGTGAGTTTGGAGGGTATATATGGAAACGGGAATTTTATAGTATAAGCTGCGAGGGGCTATATTTATGTACCTGGGCGACGGGGGTAGAATTTAAATTGTAAATGTTTCTATAGGAGAAAGAATGATTAATTGAAGGGTGAATGAGGGTCGATGCCTTTGTGGATGGCGGGGATTTTAAAGTCGATGACGAATAGACAAAAAGAAGAGAGGGAAGAGGAAAGAAGGGGAAGGGGAAAGAACGATGAAGAGGGGGAGAAGGAGGAAGAGGAGGCGGAGGGAAGGTAAGGAACGAAGAGAAGGAAAGAGAGGAGGAACAGAAAGAGGCGGAAAATGTGGCTGGACGAAAGGAAAGAACGGAGAGGAGGAGGGAAAAGGTGGCTGGAATACGGGGAGAGAACAGAGAGGAAGACGAAAAGGTGGCAGGACGAAGGGGAAGGAAGGGAGAGGAAGGAGAGAGGAGGAAAAGGCGGCTCCAGCTTCGACGTCGGAAAGGCTGGAGGTTGGGAATGCAGTATTAGTGACACTCGCATTAAGTCTGGCTTTGGAAGACTCGCGTCCGGGCGTTTAATCGCTGGATTAAGGACTTTGATCGAACGGATTAAGTCTTTAGCCCCGTTGAATTAGGTTAGGGGACTTTGGGATTAGCTCTGATAACTTGGGAAAGAAGTCGGGGATTTAGGAGCCCCGGGCAAAAGGGCTGGATAATTTGGCGAGCGGGACTTGTGAGGATTGGCCGATCATTCGGGAGCTAAAGTATTACCCCATTGGGTTTCCCTCGGATGTACATGATAGACCCGGGGGGATTAGCCGCGAAGCCTGCTGGATGCGGTTTAGTAGTTCATTTCATTTCATTTCTTTTTTTTTTTTTGGGGGGGGGGTCTGGGAGGGGGGGAGTGGATTACAGGTGGCGGGCCCAAAGCTTTCAGTGTCTGCGAGTGTTTTATTTGGGAGGCGCCCCTTTTACTTTCATTTCGCGTGTCCCCTCGCCCGCACGCCCGCGCATGCCACACTGACGAATAAATGGATTTGTAGGTATCGTCTCTTCCTCTTCCTTTCTCTCCTTTTGCCTCATCTTCGATCCCTCGGTCACTTATCTCTCAGTCTGTCTTCCTCTCTCTTTCTCTCTGTCTCTGCCCCCCCCCCCTCCACCCACCTCTCTCTCTTCCTCTCTCTTCTCTTTCTCCTTCACCCTTTCCCTTTTCATCCCCCCTCCCCGTCTCTCCCCGTCTTTCACTCTCCCTCTCCCTCTTCCTTCCCCTCTCTTCCATCTTTCCCACTGTTCCCTTTCTCCCGTCCTTCCCTTCTCTCCCTCTCCCTCTCCCTCCGTTCCATGATAGCCCATTCTCCGCCGGCCCGCTATGGCGTGGCGACCGCGCTCCCCTGCCCCAATTCAATCTCTAGCTAATCCACGGCCTTTTCTCTTGCTCTGCCACCGATGTGAGAATGGATGTATTCACATATTTCCTTCTGTGCATGGACGTACATTTCTGCGTTTCGTTCCCCCCGGGT